GTGTTCGAGGACTGCTATCTTTACCTGATAGGATCAAATAAGGTTGAAGGGCGTCCTGGAGTACAGTGTTTCAGGAGGAGGGCAGCATACAATTTCCATTTGCTCCAGCTATTGTTCAAGTGATCGAATTGACCAAGGTTCAATTCAAGGCGAACCACGATCTACAGTAAGATTGCGCGTCGCAACACAGTCACACAACGTGCACTTAGAAATGGCCCAATAATAAGTATATAACTTGTCTTTGGTTCTGATTTTGCATTCCGTAATGTTTGGTATCTCGCTTTATCAGATGTCTCACCTTTTTGTACTGTGGCGCAATAGCTGTGGTGTCTCTCATATTTATCGAATGTGTGATGATGATATTGATGGGCGGCTTTATACGAATAAATGAGTAAGAACATGGTTTTGCTGAAAAGCAGGAAGCACTGCGCGCAATTAACATACACAGATGATTGTGCGTGAGAGCGGTTAGTCGGTAAAGTTTGCGAAACCGATAAATTAAGGGAAAACATATGAAGCCTTCAAACAATTGGTGAAAAGGATGAATGTATACACAGTGGTGAGTGGGATGGTAATTCTGTCCAATGGAATGTGGTTTGCTTTAAAAAGGCCATCAGTGGTCGTCACCGGAGGGAATGGTTGTGAGTACCGAACTGGTCCAATGGGGACGCAGAACACCTTGTTAACAATAATGAGGCACAGTATGAGAAAGTGTACTCAAGGTACTGAAAAAGTGCAAGTTTCAAAAAACGCTGCGCTAAAAGGCGCCACAACTCGCAGTTAAATAAAACTATTCCCAAAGAGTGAGAGCGACTAAACTCCACAAAAAAGGAACGGTGAAGTCAGTTGATTACACTAAGAAAGGACGCTCCACAATAAAATCCATGCAACGCGTTCATCGTAGACTCGCGTTACACAACACGAAGGTTGGAGAGGATGCTGGTTGAATAGTAGTCACACAACATAAGCGGACATCAGTACGCTCAAGTCAGCCAGAAAGGTTTAACAGAAGTAGTGGAGAATAAATAATTAAATTGTATAAAATCTCATTTTCGGCGAGACACGCCTGTGCGGTTATATTCAGGTAAATAAAAGCATTTTCTAGTTCAATGACCACGAATCATCGAAAAATATACAACAGTATTGAAAATCGATTTTCAATTGTGATGGTGTGTAAAAGTTGTCCGTTGTTTCAGCGTGTTACCTGATGTTGCACAAGATGTCTATGTTGGGATTGGTAGACTTGTTGATAATACGGAAATGTATAAAGTAGGGAGCAATTACCTTTAAGCACATTGTGATGGCTACTTTATGCAAGGCTATTTAGTAGTAGCTAAGGTTGGTAGTGGCGCTCAGATAAAATTAGAGAAAGAGGGACACCTATAATAGATAAATGTAAGAGCAACCTGAAAGAAGAGTAATAAGAACCGACAATGAAGATGGAGAATGTAGTGGTGTGTTCAGTTGAATTCCTCCCTCAGTACACACTTGTTGGCGATAATTTTGTCGTTGGCACAGCCGTGTAGGAGGAAGAAAGACCATAAAGACAGTGCGTGTGGGCGCCTTACTACTGTAGACTGGTTTCTGAATCATATAAATCCTGGGCCTTTCTCGTATGCTTGGCTTGTGAAATCTTAATAGGTGAATCACGTTTTGCACGGTCAAGTATCTGCTGGCCCGTTTGTGAAATTCCTGCTCTGAATTGTTAGCACGGATGTCGGTTGGCAATTTGTTCCAAATTCGTGCAGATTTGTTAAGGAAGAAGTTAGCGGATATGGTGGTCTTCGACCTATATTCCAGTATGTAATTTTCTTTATTTTATGTGTTTTCTAGTGGTGATTGTATTATGTGCTATGTCAATGTTGGAAACACGCATTTGCGGGTGCAGGACGTTATAGAATATGATTCGATTGTACTTCACACGCCCTAACCAGAGGGGATCAAGCTGGAGTATCTCACATTGTTCGAGATATTGTAATTTCGATGAGATATCTAGGGAGCGCTTTGTGAATGATCGTTGTACATTTTCTAGCACAATGCAATCTCATTCGTGCTACTGTTCGCCATTGAGTAATATTCCAAAAAGGGACGTGAAGGTGATGAATATACGCACAGTATAGATCCTTTTAATTTAAAAGCGCTAAATAACATTCTAATGATTTGTCTGGTCTTTGCAGTGATGTTAGCTACTTGTTCAGAGAAGCTGAGCAAGCGTGAGTGTGTAAGTTCTAGGTCCCGAACAACATGGCCTATCGCAGATAGTCAGATCGCGAGATGTTTTGGCGCATATGTAAGACATAGCCTAACACTTATCTGTCCTAAATAACATTCCTCACTGAGCACTAAGTTCCGAGCCGTGGATGTCGAGCTGAATCATATTGGTAGTTTGGTTTATGGTAGCAAAGTGAAAAATGTGGATAATTTTGACATGGTCCGCAAACACGTATGATGTTCCGAATTTCACTGAGTCAGACATATCGTTAACATACATCAAAAACAGTATAATACCAAGGACACTACCCTGTCCTACACCACTTGTAACTGCTGTTGTTTCATGAACCTGCACCATCTGCGCTCGATTTGTAAGATCCATAAACCATAAAGAGCTCCCTGTCATGGAAGACAGTAAATCGCCAGCGCTATCTGCAACAGCGCGACTGAGCCTATGGTCAGTATGATGGCGTTTCACTTGGTTGGGATCTAAGAAAAAGCAGTCACACTCACTTCAACCCCTAACTTGGAGGACCAGGAGACTGAGTTTGGCTGGCCTCTAACCATTGACTAATCTGGTATGAGTGGCTGTGTAGATGCGAAAAGCACCACCCAGCATAGGTCAATCGATCACTAGACACGCAAACCATTGCACCAAGTTAAGGTCCAGTCTTGTCGCGATGGGACGGAAAAATACCAAGCAACTGGCGTTAACGTGTAGGACAAATGGAGGCATGCGCGTTCAGCCTCTAGCGATCGATCAAGTTGGCGCGAGTAGCAATGAAGGCGTTCGGAGAATAACACTTGCGAAGACCAGCGCATCAGGCTGTGGTCAGGTCAAGCCTCGCGTCGTCGAACGTCCACTGGCGTCGTAAGAGCGAGTCGAGTGTGGCGCATGGAGCACGGAAGAAAATTGGGGAGGCAGATCATAAATGACCGGAAGGAACCGGTTACTCTATCGTTTAATAAACAGTCCCTCTGTACATCCTGCGTCCAAAGCGAAGTTATCTGTGGGGGGATGCACAATTTCAGACCCTAATCAAAAGGCAAGAGCGGGGCCACAATGAGACGGAGGATGAAATCGAGATGTGGTAGTTAAAAGTAAAAAGAAACCGTGCTTCTAATGTAGTCTAATGTTCGATAAGTAAGCTTATAACGGTAGACATACAAATAATTATTGATTTGATGCTGCTCCGACACAACCGGTTTCCATCGTTACCAGAAAGAAAGTCCTGTTCCCGATACTTTTAGGAGGACGACGACAACGGCACATTGAGAAATTTCCGGTGAGGTAACTGAGCAATGATGTATCATAAAAATCAAACACAAGGGCTAAAATACTCAATGAGAAAGCAGGCTGAGTGCAGAGGAATGTCACTACGGTGGCCAGTCCTTAGACACATAAACATATAGGCAGTCCGATATTTGTCGATAACGCATGCATGGTTTCAACCATAGTCCAGTTGGATGATATAGAATGATCTAAGGATTGAGGTGTGCACATGGGAAAAAGGAATCGCAAGAAGGTGCACGTAGCAATTCGATCTTCGGATGCGTCCTTATTGCTCAGCGCAGTGTAGATGGGGGTAGAGTCCCCAGGACGATTGCGCCCACGGGACACCGTAGGTGTCCCCATACATCTACACCCCCATGAATAAAGCCAGGAGATAGGCGGATGAGAGGGACGCTTGATTCGAATCATTTTCAGCACGCATATCATTCGAGTAAATTTGCGGAGGACAGGTGTGTCGCATGTGCACACGGAGCGTTCGTTGAGCCGAAGTCCATTGTTTGATAGGAAACCAGTCTTTGAGAACGTTGCTTTGTTCTCCGAACTGGGCGCTTCGCTTGAAGACGTTACATCGCCAACCTAAGCAAGATCAACAGGGCTTCGTGAGCCAGATGCAATCGGCTCACAAGGTTCTGTGATTCAGATCTTGAAAGCTGCATTAATAATGTTGCCAAGCTTGGCGATGAAACGTCTGCAAGTGAAACGCCCAGCTCGGAGAACAGAGCAAGCTTTTCATCCACACCTCGAGCTACCAGTCTTTGAGCTCAAAACGGTCATGAATGCTGTGCGGCATGTCGCGGCTAGTGCCCATCTGGTCAGTAAGTAGGCATAGTGAAGTTCGCAGGTAAATTAACCAAGGAGTGAGACAGTCGTACGCGTTACGTAACAGCAGCGGTGTTGTTTGCCAAACAAAACATGCGGAATGTGTCATAGCAGCGGATGAGGCAAAACAATGGAAAACGACTGCAACTCAGAAGAGCGAGGGTGTGTGTAAGGCAGAAGTGTGCACATATTTAACGTCGCAACCGGGGACAGGGTGTTAGAGATGTGAGCTGGGTTAGTGTGGGGACACGGACAAACGAGACACGAGAATCACACAATAATGATCGGCGGATCAAAAGCAAATGGAGCACACAAGGATCCAAGCACGTCCGTGCACTTACTGAGGCGTGGATTTGGCTCGCTACGACATCGTAATGAGGCCAAATGGGGGGTATAGGAGGAGGAAAAGGGGTATAGTGAAGCGTAACATTCCAGTGAGTGAATGGATTATTGCGCAAGCATATTGCAAGGCTCATGACAGGCGAACGACAGACAGATGCGTTGTGGTGGCCAAATGTCCTGTGCGCAAGGTGCATCAATCAAGCAGCCGGAAACTATTGTGAGCTTAATTGATTTCCAGATCATGTACAAACTAGAAACTAGGATGCAGATGAAGGGCCGAAAATAAGCAATACCAAAATGTAAGTGTGCCAGGACGCCTAAGAGTCGGACTCACCTGCATCGGAGCAGACTGACGTCGGGTGAAATCAGCGAATTTGGCAGCATATTCAGTTTCGTGTGAATGAAACGGAGTTCTTGGAGCGGCTACAGAGAGGGGGGGCAAAGGGGGAAGCGATTATTAGAGGGTTTAATTGAAGCGCCTACCACACAAACGGTAACAAATCTACTACCACTGAGTCGGCGGAATTAGTTAGTCTGCGCATAATGTCGAACGCGTTTTGCAAGTCTATGCGAATTATGATGACTGCCGTTCTTCTATCAAGCATGGACTTGACATGATTGGGAAATTGCAGCTGGCAGGTAACACGAGAGCGCCTCGAATAAAAGCCATATTGTGAGTGATTGATAAGGTCCGGTTGTGTAAGAAATTGAACATATGTTTTTAACTATTCTGTACAGAGATTTGGACGTAAAGTGGTGTGATTTACTGTGCGATAACTTGAGAGTTTATTTCTATAGTTACCTTTTTGTTTTGGAATAATGGTAGATTGCTCCAACTGAGGTAGGAAGAGCCGAAAATTAGCGATAGTGTGAAGGCGTTTAGCAACAAAATAGGAATGTTGGAACTACTGAGGAGGATGCCATCTAGATCCGGATGGGTTGACGGTTTTATGGATGCGATGGCGTTCTGCACAGGGAAATTACGGATCAGCTCATTTATTCGTCTTTGGAGAGAGGGGGGGGGTGAGATGTGAGTATCAATGACCAAGGAGGAGGCAAAGCTGTAAGTGATTGACTCACACATACAGATAGCATGCGGTAGTGATCCATCGTCTGACGTTAGCGTTTCGACCTGTCAATGAAGATTAAACTTTGTCTTTCGAAGTAGCTGTGTCAATGTCCGTACGTTTTCAGGATCTCTAACTATCCGACTTTCTTCATTGATTTTGGCTGTTTGGGTTCAACGTTGTAGCTGCAATGGAGCCCGATGTATTTGTAGGAATGCAGCGACTGTTGCTTCTGCAATATAATGCTTATGTTTCTTTAGTTTGATTGCGGTTTTGTTGAGAAGTATGTGCTGATCACTATGCTTGTGGGTGTTGCTCCAGGTGCCAGTACATCTACACACACGACAATAATGCGGATAAATTCATTTGCAGCTGCAGTTGAGAAGCATGGGTCCCGGTCCATAGTACCGATACCTTCATTAGATGTATTATAATCAAACCGATGAATGTTGTGAATCTGTACCAGTATTGTATTTGACAGCTTAGGTGAATCAATAGTCGCGTTGCAAAGTATTGTGTTGTGGTCGTAGCCACAGAGACCGGATTATCAATGCAGAATACGAGTGGATTGCCCACGTTCTGATGAGAGAGGCGACAAAGTGGTCAGAGAACTATGCCCGGCATAATCGTATCCTCGGCTCAATGTGCAAACGGTACTCGCGTACTCCGCATGGATATCCGTCATGCGCTATGACCCATCCACGGGGTGGTTGTTGATGGTACCGACCAAATTCAGTGCTACAATGTCAACCAGTGTACCTGACGATGACTAGGTAACGTTTGTGAGTATACAGTGCAGTTACATCGGTAAAAGTAATGTTGATGTGAATTTTCAATAGGAGAAAGTGCTTGGTAGCTACAATGAAGGAGACGAAAATAGGACGCGGACGAGCGCAACATAGCCAGTTGGGCAACTAAACACCCGAAGTGTCCTCCGAAACAATGATAGCGTGGATAATCGTAAACGCGACCTTTAAACGCATTTGCAATTAGGTTCTTTTAGTCATGCGGCCGTAGAAGCGTGATGGACCCGGCTGACATGACCAGTGCTGTCAAATTAAGGAAAGACAAGCAGAAAATGCAAAATTACAAGCATGAAGTCTAAGAAGAAGAGATTAAAAAAACAAAGTAGTCAAGTGGAAATTTCGACAACAGGAGGAAAGAGACCACATATGCAAGTGAGTCACCGGCTTCACGATTCTGTTATATCGGGTAAGGTCATCAAACAGTGGACCATTTTAAGAAGCCCCGCTCAGTAGGTTGACACATGTGAACACGCCTAAGTCTGATGGCTGCATACACTGTGCCATGGCATCCGTTGGCTAAGCAGGGCACAGTGTCTGGAAACAAAAGTGGTCAGCGAACATGCAGAGAGTAGTACTGTGAAATTAACATAAGCGATTCATGACAGGTATTGCGCTAGAGGGTCTATTGATAAACCTTAACCGCCGAGCGTCAGTAGTAAACACCCGCTGGTCTAACTAGACATGGACAATGTCACACAAGCACAAACACTCAGACGAGTCCGACCTGTTAAATTTTTCAACGTGGGGTGGCCATGTTTCTGATGCGCACAGTAACACCGACCACCATGCGGCGGTGTTTTTTCCCTTCCCCCTGACTGATAAGAGAGGATTCCGTTATTTCGATAGATAGAAAAATCTTTGAAAGGCAACTCTCTTTAGTTTGATGAAAGGAAGAGGCGGCACAGAAACCCACATGAGAATAACGATCGACTAGCTCGAGTTATCACCCGGTATTTGTAGAAATCGGTAGTGTGTTGGCCAGGTCCCGCAACAACACTTCGAAATCGGTGGTCATTGCAGGTAACGGGTGTCTACTTCAGTTTTGTGGTAGAACAGCGTCAGTATAGCAATAAAAGTGGAGGGAACTAGGACCAGAAGGCCATATCGCGCCAGCCAAATCGACTGAGCAGGATCAACTACCCACGCTACATTAATGCGAAAAGGAAATGGAAAGACGAGGCTAGGTGTCCATCGCACTTGCAGATAGAGTGCTAAGAATTAACTTTGATTTACAACCTGCAGGAGTGAGATCATAAAGAGGATAATAAGCGAAGGGCAAAGGGGAGATGAGGAGGTGGTGAAAAAGCAAAGGTAACAGTAACTCCTGATTGTGGAAGGTGGTGGAGCCACAGATTATAAACCTCCCCCATGGCGTACGACCGCACCTGTATGCCCCAGGTTCAAGTATCGTAAGTATACTAAGGCGCTATCTGAAAAGTTTGGCTACAGGATATGAATCCATAAGGGACCAAATAATTAAAAATAAACAAAACAGCTGGGCATAGAATGATAGATGTTCGTGACGAAGGTAAAGGAGCTAGTACGTGAAGAGTATTCAGTTAGATGAGTCACGTGATCGCTGAGACTGTTTTGTTGAGACGTAGAAAGCAACGGCAACTATACAGAACCGAAAATACATTGAGGAAAGTAGGTAAACAGCAAGTACGACATGAAGAATGAACCGGCAACAATAATGCTCGGGGGTATTTTGCCAAACAACTGCACCAAATTGTATAACGGACTTCCTAAGGACGGGGGCGAAATTGAATCCACCAATGAGTTCCGTGAAGTATTTCACTCTTACTTAACTGTAACAAAAGTGGGTGAATTGAGTAAGAAAAGCGCATACACATTGATATAAGCAATAGGACAATTCACCATCACAAAAAGTTTACTACGATGAGCGGTAAATAGTTCGAACCGAAGCTTATAAATGTTAAAATCATTATAATACACTTTAATGCCGAAGCCTATTACTCCGTACAAATTTGCCTTCCATCCTTCAGTGAGCTAAAGTAACTTTTGCAAGTGATCGCTTTCCCTACTTACAGTTAACTGTGCAATGAAGGATTAGTCAAGATTGATATTAGAGCCTCTGGACTGTAGCGCCCCATCCCGTCTCCCCATCCCACCATGTTATTGTTATAGTGCGAATGACGGAGATTCATAAGTTTAATTATGTGTTCACGATAGTGGATGCACAAGAATTAGCCACTACTGCAACCGTTTCCTACTCCTAAGAACTAGTGTAAGTCTTCCAGCTGACGGTTTTCGTCATACAATCTGGCTAACTGTTCAAAGTAGAATCAGCCAGGAAAGATGCAGGAGCCTCTGAAACTGCCTTATAACACTTCAATGTACTTATTTCGCAATGGTGAACAATTTTGTGAACACATGCGGTAGCTTCCATACTTTGCGCTTCCAATCTATGTTCTACGATAAATATCTTTCCTAGGCTGTCTCTTCTTATTCCGCTCAACAGGTTTAGCGTGTTTTTCACACGGTTGCGCAATTAATACCGGAGGATAACAACACAGACCGTATCTGTAAGACATCTTGTATTTTCAGTTCTAAAATGATTTCTGATGAATACCATGAAAGTTCAAACTAAATTATGAATAATAAACCTAGTTCATCTAGAAAATATTTAAATAGCTACCCGCTTACTATGGTTAGGTCATTTCGCCGCACTATCTGTCTCTTGCATAAATCATACTTAAAACTTCCACCATTGTGTCAAACATGTTGTCACAACGGAAAGTTCGTTTAATTTTCGCTATTCCCGTTCTTTCTATCTCGCTGTTACAGTGTGGTGGATGGTACGGAAAACATGTATTTTGGTTAAAACTAAGGAGGATGAATACACGGATCAATGATCAATCGTTAGACAGTTATGCAATTTGATCCGTGAGCAACAGAACCGTACTTTGCAGTAAACGGTAAAGCGATTGTTTATATCCTAATAGTGATGTTTCATTCAATCTAGAACATCTGTACTTTAAAATCCGTAGAATGAGCAGACCTATTGATGAGAACTACAGTTAGTTATATCGGTAAAAAGCATTATTATTATTATTAAACCAAACGGTCTCACCAGATCCGACGAGAAGCTCACGTTCCACTCGGGCCGTATTCACAGACTCGCTAGAGGTGAGTAGCGTCGGTGTGCTCTCACGACTGTCTGGGTTGCAATGATCCATGGAGGAGACGCACCGCTTTAGTCTGTCCCAATCGAACGGATCATCGGGTGGCTCAGGAAGAAGAGCTGACAGCGTGCGCTCGGTTTCTGAGGGCAGTTCAAACGGATCCAAGGGGTCAATTGTCGCAGTACTGGTTGAGGGCGCGAAGGAATTCAAGGGAGGTGGTGCAGGACACGATGAAAAAGCAGAGGCTGCGTACTGAGGGAACGACGTCCCAAACGCAGCGGGTCGGTGAGCAGGAAAGAACGACGAGCGAGGAAGGTACACCGGAGCCGAAGGGGTCTGTAAACGAAAAAACATAAAACTGTTAACTAGTAAACGCAGTCTTTAGGAAAGATAATGGGGAGCAAAACCCTCTTCAGGAGACTGCATTTTGAGTGGGTGAAAGATTGAATGGGTGAAATCAAAAGTTATCCAGTGCGATCAAGGTGTGAAATCTCTGGTTAGTAAGACACATCAACAGCTCCAAACTCAGTGATGAATGAAACGTGTCTACTACACACATACGCAAATTCGTATTGCAAGATCGAGCAGAAATAGACAACCAGAGTGCTAAAATGAAAAGGGCTTGACGAGTAGTAGCGTTGATCTTAGTGCCCAAAATACTTAGGTTACAAGGAACAATAACAAGAACGACAGTGATGCCTTATACAGAGGCTCCGTTGCTGTACAAGCATGAAGATAAAATAAATAAGAAATAAGAGTCAACTCAAATGACACTGGGAAACATTTAGCTGCAAGGTCCATACAACTTGTAAACGCCACACGATCACTAAGAGATGAGAATCTTGTGGAGATAGTGTGGGACTGTTTCCTTGCGGTATTTACTGACTAGGGTCATAAAAAACCATACTTCATACACAGTTTTGTTTCATACAAACCATAAACAGGACGTGTGGCTAAGAGATGACCGCAAAAGTTTTATTAGCGCTGGTTACCAGTAATGCCTTGTTGGGCCTTGAACTGAGCACAAGATATGTCACGAAAAGTCTAGAATGAAAGGTGAAAGCAATCGACAACACCCAATGATATCACTTTTGGTTGTCAAACCAACGGGTGCCCTTGAGCCTTGCGATAACCTACATCCTGTTAACAAACGACGTCTTAACGGTGAACGATTGACAGGCATACGCAGCACGTGCCCAAACCGGGGAAGGGTATATGCAGTTTAGCGAGTTTGTTTAACGAACCTGCCAACTGCCAACTAGAACTCGCCTGCGCACCTACACGTTGAGGAGGATCAGGTCGTCAGAACGAAATAGCCATGTACCGCTACCCTAGAGGATAAAACCCCTACTGTGGTCCCGTGAACAAGACCTTACAAGAGTAAGCGAAACTTCTTTCTGGTGGAAGAGATGCCAAATGTCTATGAAGGTAGATCAAACGTTAGTGACAGAGGTGTTCTTCAAAGTAAATTGTGGACCCAAGTGAGATTGTGGTATAATCCAGACATACGGCGGGCACTACAAGACCCAACAACGAACATTCGGTTTACTTTCAACAGTTACGGATCTGTGGCTTTTAACGCAGATTCCTCGTCATTACGGAGCAGACTAAGAGGCGAAAGTCACGTGAAAGCACCGTGTACGGTGAAGGTGAAAGATTCAAAGCAGATGTGTAAAAAACAGGAGCGTTTAATGAGAGTTGGGCGTGTCCCCTAGCGATTGTCAAACAACAAAACGATGTAGCCCAATTAATCCAATTTAACCAAGTTGCTAGCGGACAGAAGCCAAAGGCTAACAATTGCACAAGAGGAAATTCATGGAGCAGAACAACGAAGCGAAGCTTCGCAGGAAGTACGAGAAAATAAAAGTATAGCTCGAAGAAAACAGATGGGGCAGAATACTCGCCAAGCATTAGAATGGAAAAAGCCAATGAGGCTGAAGTTAAAGTGGTATGAGACAAACTACACAGCAGACCAATCAACTTGCATGAAGCGATTAAATTCCCTGTCCCGAAAGGAAATGTGGTGTAGACAGGAATCCTGAGGACCCATTGGGAACAAGAAAACAGAAAAGTGGAAAAATGATGTGCGTTCTTCTTAGTGTAGGTACAGAAAGGTCGTTTCAAAAAGGCAACAACTTGTGATGGGATATAAGTCAACACGATAAAGAAGGTAGCAGGATAAAATGCAGTTTTGGACTTTTTTGCGATTTCCATAACGCAATGTGCGATGTTGTTCCACGTTTATCATAATCTTTCAAATGAATACAGTGAGAGTTTGAGATGTGACTCATGAGCTCACCAGTGCTGGCCGACGCTTTAAACGTTAGGACAGCAAACTCTGAGGACAACGCATGAAAGAGCGGTTGGACATATCTCGGGTGTTCGGAATGCGACAAGCGAATCCAATGAAAAGCGATTTGTGACGAAATAAACTCAGGTCAATAGCGACCCTCATTGATGCTACTCAAACATATCTCACTCCAAATAGTGACGGTGTAATGCAGACAAACTAGGCGGTAGACATTGTCAACTTTAAGATACACAAACATCGGTTATTACGACCAATGTAACCGTATCTCAAGCGGGGATATCATGGTGATGGTGAAAGTCAACATTCCATTTTCCTTAACGATTTCATCAATGTTTACATCTTTCTGAAAGAAACAGCATAACCAATAGTGTCTCAAGTCCGGACATACTTCGGTGGTGTAGACGAACGAGATTTAGTTTAACAATCGTTCCAAATGACAGCCCGATTAAATCAGAACACACAGCGCATGCTTCGAATCGGAGATAGAAACATATACGCGCCACATGTAGATAAGATAGTCGAAAGATAACTCGAACCGAGGAGTATTTTCAATAAGATGAATGGGTAATTAGGGACGAAAGCAGTAGATCATTGGATAAGGAGGGGAGTACACTCAAAGATCCGGTGAATCCAGCATCATTTAGAGGACAAACTGCACTCATGAGTCCAAAGAGCTGCATGCACTGTCCGACAGAAAACAACAAAAAATGTGCCAACACTGAAGAACGCATATAAGGACACCCACAATTTGATCAAATTGACAAAGATGGACGACGAAAGGACAGGAATGAAACACGATCGCGAAAACCGGGATAAAACGAGCGAGCTTTAGTGACAAGGTGAGAGTCTGCTATTGGGTTCAACTGGCTGGGTTTGTTGAAGATGGAAAGTTCCGTCACGACGAGAATGGACCTTAACGCCGTGTGACGGTTTGCGTACCTCGTCGACGCATTGAGCAACACTGTGTGGGGCCCTTGGGCTACTTGAGAACTACTCCTACCAAGTTAGTCAATGGTTAGAGCGCAGACAAGCTCCGTCTCCTGGTCCACCTGGTTGGGGGTTTGAAATGAGACCACGTCCATTTCTGTAAAACCGAGTGGTTGCCACATCCGCTGCCTTGCGGGCAGGTTTTTGAGCCAAAGATTTTGGTTGAGGATCCTAATCGTTCTTCTGTCTAGATTTGGGCGCCCTGGTAGTAGCTCAGCCTACGTACAACCATGATTAATTCCCCCAACTGCAACCACATCCTGCATCGGCCGTCCCGAAGCTTATCAAGGGTCGCCTTATCTGCTACATACAACAGGACGGATAAGCGAAAACATGCTACTTCTGGCGCCTCCCTTCTTTCTTCTCCACCCGTTTCTCTTACCCCCCCTCCCAAACACTTTACTAGCTTTCCTCCTATAATTTCTAGTTTACTTGACAGCAACCACAATGTCACAGGAGTCACACCATCTGCAGCTATGTTCCCGTACCACCCCCACTGGACACTAAACGCCGACAGATCCTTATAAAGCCGCACTGTTCCGTTTCTCTGGTAGCGTTCAACGTGCACATTCTAAGGCACACAGGTAAATAGGTTGCACTCGAACGCTCGTTAGACACGCTAGGTATTGATGTGTGCTGTATGTCCGAAACTAGGATCCAGGAGCCACACGGCGCTGTTGAATTAACTGCACCCGGTTCATTCTCTCGCTATAGGTTACACGCATCCGAAGACGCTCATACGGCAGCCTCTGGTCAAACTGGAGTAGACATTGTTTCCAGTTCCAAGGTTGAATCGTAGTTCATGGATATCGCTCATGAAAATTGCAGAAGACAGTTGCAAAAAGAACTTTTTTCGGCAAATCGCATCAGGCAATTACATTTACAAGGTAGAAAGAAATAACAGTAGGTTGTAGAAAGTCAACATGGGAGTGGATAAAAACGGTGGGAAATGGCTCAGTAGATTAGATCGGTACCTGAATTCTACGATTCTGGCGGCAGGGGACTGCAGCTTTTTCAAAATCCGATCTGAATAGACAGAGTTTATTCATTTATAGAACAATGGTGGGTAAACCGGAAAAGCGAAGCACATCCGGTCGTCACCAGTGTTCCATCTGAATGAGTTCATATCGGGGCCACGGTAGACTTAGAGTTTGCACCAGTAGCCTCTGCTTACAAAGCTCTGGTTGCAGCAGTCTGATCGCGATCACCTCAGCTGTCCTTAGCAGTCGTTTTCTAGGCCCCCTTCCGTATCGCTTGGGCACGCTGTAACAGATTGAAGGTATCATTGGTCGAGATCTCATTCAGCTAGAATTAGATGTTCCAGAATGGAAGTGTTGATCTTCTTGACGGTGCCTCGCCGCAATAACTCCGGCAATGCTCAGTTATCCTCGTCGACAGACGTTTGGTCGTATGTCCGAGATAATTAGCACCACAGGTGCAAGTGAACTGATACACAACATACGATTCGGACTTGACCGGTAGTCAGTTTTCAAGGTGTTGAGCAACAAACGATCTGGTCTCCGTGAAAATGCGTGGATGGGTTGCTGGAAAGGCATTATCTACTGCGGCACAGAGTATCTTAGTCAATAGGTCAAAAGCGATGTTTCCCTTCAAGGGAACAGAGAGAAACACTTCCTTCTTTGGAACAGTGGAAATAGATTGATGGCGCTGACTGACCACGGCGTACTTTTTGATAAATGAAACAGTATGCCCATTTGAAAGTTGTGTTTTGATAAGCCGATTTTTCTCCGGGCTGCAAATCTTGGTGGCACGGTACTGCATGCAGTGGACTATGCTCCGTTTGTACTATAGGAACACCAAACTCAGAAAGTGCGTCTAGTGACCAGCCCACGTCGCTTTCCGAAGGATACTTCTCTCAAAGGAACCACCTGCCCGAGTCTTCAATAGTACGTCATTTATCGAAAGCACGCCGTGGTCAGTCAGCACTACCAACCTGTTTTTACTGTTCCGAAGAAGAAAATGTTACTCTCTGTTCCCTTGAAGGGAAACATCACTTTTGACTTATTGAGTAAGAAACCCTGTGCCGCAGTACCTAATACCTTCCCAGCAACCCATCCATGCGTTCTCGCGGAGACCAGATCGTTTGTTGCTCAACACCTTGAAAACTGACTACCGGTCAAGTCCGAATCGTATGTTGTGTATCAGTTCACTTGCACCTGTGGTGCTAATTATCTCGGACATACGACCAAACGTCTGTCGACGAGGATAACTGAGCATTGCCGGAGTTATTGCGGCGAGGCACCGTCAAGAAGATCAACACTTCCATTCTGGAACATCTAATTCTAGCTGAATGAGATCTCGACCAATGATACCTTCAATCTGTTACAGCGTGCCCAAGCGATACGGAAGGGGGCCTAGAAAACGACTGCTAAGGACAGCTGAGGTGATCGCGATCAGACTGCTGCAACCAGAGCTTTGTAAGCAGAGGCTACTGGTGCAAACTCTAAGTCTACCGTGGCCCTGACAACCTCTGCTTGATCAGATCAGTGCCCAACAAAGCTACAGTCATGCGCCGCCAGAATCGCAGAATTTAAATACCGATCGAATCTACTGAGCCATTTCCCACCGTTTTTATCCACTTCCATGATGACTTTCAGCAGCGTATTGCTGTTTCTATCTACCTTGCAAATGTGATTGTCTGATGCGATTTGCTGAAAAGAGTTCCCTACGCAACTGTCTTTTGAATCATCGTTGGTTGATTGGATTCCCTTGAACATCCGATTGTGCGCAGTCTGTTTGACGACATCAGTGAGTTTGCACGGGAAGAAGAAAAGTCTTATCTGAAACCTAGGGACTCTAGGGGCCAGGTTGTTTGGCCAAACACACGGAGCTGGCCGCAACGGGATGATCCAGCCTATAAGGCGGCTTGTGATTCCGCTCTACTTGATCCTGACGTATCCCATGTCGGCAATTCTCACACAAAATTGGAACGAAATTTTGATGGATCGCATGAAAACGCCGGAGATGGGTAATCGATAATTGATGCATGAAATGTGGAATTCAACGTGACACACAGCACATGGGACTGCATTTGCCCGATTCTCCACTACCGTGGAACAGGCACCATAAGGTGAATGTTCCGGCATTATAAATAATCCGAGTCCAAGATGATGACCAATTGTAGCGCACAAAGTGATAGTAAGAGTTCCAATATTAAACAGAGATAACAGAAGTATTAGTGGTCGAAAAACCAAGAGTCAAAAATGAAACGGAATATTGGCGCAATTTTCACGAAACAACTCGAATGCATGGAGAAATCTAACAATAAATAATTTTGTTAACACAGCTACATGTAGGTGACCGAGAGCAAGAAAGTACTGCCGCTATCTACTTGAAGGCGCATCGTATGATTGAAACAGACAGCTGGGACAAACCGGTGACACAAGCACATAATATGGAAAAGCGTCTCTCTTTCGCGTAAACCTTGTGGTAAACACAACCAAGCTCTTTATCTCAAAGCACAAGAAGTGGTGTAGAGAAACCGCGTGGATCTTTGGATGCACATAACTCTCAGATGAAGCCGAAGTGAAGCATTTAACCTACTGCGGTACGAAGAGAGAACATCACTTACGAGGTATGAAAATCGCTGGGGTGATGTAAACGGAGCTCGAGGTGTCGGGCTATGCAGATCGATGAGAGGTGTCATAGAATCGGTTGAGTGGTTTGCAGTTTCTGACGCTGTTTTCTCACAGTTTACATTCGAGAATGAGGTGGAGCGCGCCCTCGTCGCTGGTTCCGGAGAATTGCGTGGAGTACTCTGGAGAAGATCGAAAGGTTCTTGTACAGATAACGGACGCTGGTGATGTGCAGAAAGCCTGCTGTGCTCCGGTGGCGAAGTTGTCCCAATTGTTTCGTCTTCCGGTGGTCCGGGAGGAGGAGGAAGCAGAGAACCGTTCACGAGACAGTCATCTAGAGATGGGAACGAGTGAAATAGTATGTCTGAGAAGACGATGAAAATAAAAAAAACCAAAAATAACTAAATAGTGAGACATAAGACTTGAACAACCGGCGAGTAACAGCAGGGCAAAATCCAAAGGAACTGCAGTGTACTGCTTGGTAGTGTGGTTCTGTGGCAGCTAAATCAGTCACCTGCTGGCTGTTGTCAATCCACTATGCGCTACGTTCGATTATCGATCAGACCACTAGACACCAGAATGAGTTGGGGTAATCTCCTCCCGTGTCCGTGTAGTGCCGCACACACAGTGGATGCTCCACTATCGCATTCCTCGGTTTCGTATGATGATGGAAACATGGCTGATAAATTTACTTGAACCTGGACGACGCACTTCAATACCCGTATATGAGCTGAAAAGATTCAACCATCCACTGAATAGCATCTAGCATGAATGTCCGAGCGAAGCGGATGTATGTGAACAAAATAGGTGTAGATTTTAACAAGAATGCTCCAGACACCAAACTGCGAGGAGGTAGAGATAGATAAGAGTCGGTTAAATTTAGTGACACGGCCCCGGATGACAAATAGCATGTTGGAAATGAGTAATCAGATTTCAGATAGCTACAAGCGTCAAGCGATCTTGCAAGACAATGCATGTGCGTTTGGTATTGGTCGGATCCGCAGAACTGTGTTACGACCAGCAGCCCGCAGTCAACGATTCGAGTTTCCTCAAAGTGATATAGCAAAAGTACAGGCAGAGTAGTATCCTCTGGTTTGGGTTCCTAATTTGAGATTTTGTCACACTGACAAGTTAACTAGGATAATTCCCACCCAATTCTTGGGGACCTCGGAGAGTACAAATGAAGTCAAAATAAAGCAATGAAATATGAATTATTGCTGTCTTAAAGAAACCTGCTCGCTTATTAACGATGGAGGATAAGCACCGACAATTGCACAATATAAGCTTTGTGCAAGAATTTGATGCCATAGGTTTTCGATATGTAACGCACATCATGCTGTAGAACCTACGGCAATACTGTTGAGAGACGACGCTGTGTAAATAAGCGATAAACTCTTTTGACAGGGATAGAGATTGTTTGCAGTTATTCGCAAGGTATGACCCATTATGATATGGGGTAGCAAAGTCCGCAAGGAAACCGTCCCGTCGACGTCTCGACACGAGTACGCTGTGTGTGGTGTTGGCAAGGTATTTGCGCTTTGATCCTGAATACTTGCTAAAAACAGTTGAGTCGTATGATTAGTATTCCTCATTAGCTGGGTGACTACGGTTATACAAAAGTGAAGTACTTGTACATAGCATGGGTGTATCATTATATCTGCACGAGAGGGAGAATTCAATACACAGATGATGAATCATGATCACCAATATAGAAGCATACAATAAACTGCAGATGTGCTCTCAGTCGGTAGACACAAACACAGATACACATCTGCAGTGATCAAGATTGGATGGAAATAGAACTGAAGCGGGTTCGACCTGTTCGCAGGGCAGATGAGAGACACAATGATGGCAAAGATCAGAGGGACCAAAATATCGTTTATTGCGTTTTGGGAGTTGCGGCGATTGTCGGACCACGTGCGCATGGAAGGCAGTCGAAATCCCACTAATGCTTGTCTTTGTACGAGGATACAGAGAGTCGCCGAGCTCGAGAAAAAAAAGAAATAAATCGTCAGCTATACGCCGTAACGGCGCTTCGCTGCCGCGCGACTACCAGCAGTCGCGCGTGGGCTGAGTATACCGTGAGGACGCCCGATCCTTCGCGGATTCGAACCGGTGATCTTGCAAGCCAGGCGTGCAGACCACTCGGCCACGGGCCGAGTCCGCTACAGCTAGAATCTACTAATTGCATAACTAGACCGTTTCGGTACACAACGGACGCTGAGACAGTCGGTAAGCTGATAAAGTAGTCTGTGCAGGCGAGCAAACCTCAGCAAAACGTTCATTACGACACCGGTGTCTTCTGACGAACACTAACCGAAGAGCCTTAGCGCTGTACACTCATTGACAAACTAGATACCAATAGCGATTCACGGACATCTTGCGCCCATTAAAATAATCCAGAAGGACGAGTGTGTGCTTAAATTCACTTGGTTATTGGGACTTAAATGTGAGATGAGCGGTTGATGAAAATTCGACAAATCGGAATCTAAGGTAGCAGTAGGTAAGGCGACTCAGATATTTATGCATGCAAGCCGATCTGGTGACCTAAAGGTTGAAATATGTGTATAGTAGATGGAGTCGAAATGGCGCTAAAACCGGTTGCGCGTTCATATGTCACTCACCGATCAGAGCTTAAGAATTTCTACTCCAATCGGAGAACGAACGTTAGATTGAGATAAAAGGTGTCGTTAAGAGCATAAGTGTGCACAAAAATATAAAAAGAAATTGTGAAGTGGACACATGATAATGATTTTTGATTGAGCATCGGCACGGAAAAAGCACATGCCGCTGTTCACCAGGGCCTATTACGAAAGTTTGCTTTCCGAGTAACGAACGATGCGTTCGGCATCATTGGACGCATGGACTGTACAACATACGGAACTATGAGACCAGTAGTAGAATATTGTTACGATGCAAGTGTATTGTAAATGCGCTTCGGAAACACAGTACGCATTAACGCAAAAAGGGTATACACGGAGAGTGAGCATCGCCTTATTACGGAGTCAAGGCAGAGTAAAGAAAATAGCCTTAATGTGAAAGAATGGGTGTTTCGAAATCTTGTGTGCAAGAGAGTCGGGGATAGTTTGTTATTGGCTAACATGAGAGGAGAACGAAGACCAACGCGAAGAAAATAAAAAGGGAGACTGAAAATGTGACGTCATTTTGAGACGGAGTGTTTCGGTTAGAGAATTTTCAACGCGCCTTGGTGAGCAAAAGCTGACTAAGAAGGTAGCGGAACGAGCGGAATTTGGTCCAGGAGAAATACTTCGAAACTACTAAATGAATAATACCTCTCTCCTAGCGCTGGAGAGCAAGACCAACAGTAAAAGGCCACTAAGATGTACAATAGGAAACTGGTTGAGACTGGATAAGTGCGGACTGAGGTTAGTGTGGATATCATGGCGGGTTTAATAGTATTGAATGTCACATCTATGACATTTTACTGTGAGAACATCGACGTTGTGTAAGTTTCGGTTGCAGCACCGACAGATGCCTCCGCATTGTGGGAAGTTGAGGAAACCGTTGGACTAAGGAAAACTTGAACCAGGTGCAAAGCAGGTTGTGACAGAACAGGTAGTCGGGTATGACTCAAAACGGCGTGTGAGATCTGATCGAGAAGTTTGACGTGCTCAGAAGACTCAGCAAATGGAAGAAGCAGGAACCACAAGTAACTAAAGAGGACTGTCCAGTTATTCGTAGTGCATCAGTGGGACAAAAAGGGGTAGAACCGGTGTCCCAACTAACCATAAGGAGTTCCGTCTAACTCGTCGAGAAGTACATGTTCAAACGGTACTTTGCTCCTGTGCCGCTCTTCGCATCAACAGCGTAGCTTAAACATTGGACACACGACTTGCAGGCTACCACTACAACGAGGTAAAAAAGTCAACCCTTAGACGCCACCGTGTTGTTGGCTTGAATTCTCATTGTCTGCGCTATACAAGGATCCCGAGCAGCTCCTCGGTGAAGAAGATACTTATCAAGGTGAACAGATATGGCAAAGGTAGAACGTCAAAAACAATGGCAGGGTTGATAGTGGCGGTGCTATTTAATCAAGACACTCGCAAAGTTGGTTCTGACCACAGGAGTATCAGCCAAACATCAGTAATGAGACATTCACTGATCTAGATTTTAATCCACTGCCATACTGTGGAGGAGGAGCCTAGTGTTAGAAGTAAGCAAGCTTTCGACGTGGACGGTAGGGTATACATCACATTGTTAAACTGCGCCAAGTTCCAGTGGAGTGTAGGAAGGGCAACAGAACTATAGTTGTGTTCATCTATTTCGAATGCGCTTGAGGCAGGTGATCACTCTGTTCCGTTTGGTACACACGAACATTCCATGTGTTTTACTGGGAGGTCCAAAGCTGCGGCAGAGTCAATGGTGAGATTTCGGAATCCCCTCCGGCGGAAAGTAGGTCCACAAGTATGATTCTACTCTACTTCATAGCAAAATTCACGGCGAAGTCATTTCTTGTGGAGTCTCGCGATGTAGACATTGAGATCCTGCTCGAAGAGTGGGAAATATACTGACCCGTATAACACGAACAACAATGTCCTGGTGTCCGACAATCGCCAGATGGCGTAAGGAACTCTAGATAAATTAGCCGGATGGCTCCCAAAAGATGGTATACAAATTGGCACTGCAGCATAACTAGAGACTGGAAAACATTTGCAGCTGACAAAGTGAAAATAGATGATCGATTACTTTGTCCATGTATCCGATTCAGCAGTGAAGGCTGTGTGATAGATGAGACTAGTTTGCTTAGTACAAGGGTGAAATGATTATTCAAGTCTGTGACTCTGAGGGGCAGAAGGAAAATCTTGAAAGTAACACCGCTATAGCCTGTAGTGATGAGACCTAAAGAACATAGGTTCGAATAAATACAACAATACAATGCCTTAAAAAGAGGTTTCGTCTGTCTACTGAAGGTAGTAGAGCATAATGATTAACGAGAGCCTACCGGCACAAATGGAAGTCGATAGCTACCAGACCAATTTTTCCTGAGCCGTTCATATTGGATCCCATGCGACACACACACTGCCCATGGTTGGAGACAATATAGGATGTGGCTCACAAAATGTAGCGAGTGTGTGAAAAAAGAACATGGGTAGGACAAGATTGGCTATGATGAAGGGTAGTGAAAAGTAGGAAGTTGTTTCACTCTTATCTCATCATCACAAGGTAGTCAGCTGTTTGTGATCCGTGTATCGCTCACAAAATGCAGGTGTTTTGACTCAAAATGCCTGTTCGGAGGACTTGGGAATTATATGAAGATCAATATTCGCCACTTTGCTATTCTTTGGTAAATGGCTGTATGGTGCCGAAGCGCACATGCATGGTGTTTAACAACAATAATGTAGAGAAATAATATCCGGGGCCAACAAGTTTTCATCGGGGGCAACCCGGCTCGAGATTCAGATCAGTCCACTTTGGTGCAGACAGACAGCTGCTACCATGCGAGCACCGAAGTGCCGCGTGTGTCCAGTTGCCATAACTCGCGTTACCTTGAAAACATCAATGGATGCACGTTGCCCTGCTCGGCTGCACACCAACGCACAGATAATGCTGCTTCGATTGTTGACGAATTGGTTACTAGAAAATGACAAGCTCATAGAACTGTCTAACTACAAGCCCAACAGCTTGCGTTAGCAACGATCGTTTTTATGTCAAATGGTGAGGAGTTAGAACGTAAGTAGAATGCAAAGAGAAAGGGGTTCAAGAGTGGGCAAATCATTCGGAATGTATAGTTACAACCTAAACATGATCATTGACTAAGCAAGTACACTATGTTGAATGACAATGCCCATCGGAAAGCATCCATCCACGCACGCACCAGACTGACCAAGCCTTTCGGTTAATCTGTTCAAGTCTATCTCTGACATCAAAGACTGGTTATGTAGCAAAACTACATGTTGCGATAGCAGATGAAACATGCCGATCTAGGTGGTCAACGTGTGTGTGTAGGGCCTAACCTAGCCAACATGAGGTTTTGAGCAGACGCGTTAGTGTGACACCAGAGGGGTTCTACAGAAATAAAATGACGAACCTCAATAGTGCTCACCCGCTGAGTTTACTAGAAGTGGGTATTAGCGAAGCATGGGTAAATCGTACTCGCTTTCACGCAACTACCAGCGGTTGCATGCGGGCTCGTACGCCTCGAGGTCACCAGAACCTAAGCAGCTTCGAACCGGCGGCTCACGGATTACGATACAAACACCTGAACCATTCTACTATTGGATATGGGTAATGCAACTCAAGCACTGGCATGTACGTAAGTATTGGCAACAGTCTACGAATAGACACAGAGTCGAACAAAACCATGGAAATCATAAGAATACAGGTTTAATCACCATATCATCATCATGACGCATAAGCTGAAGGTGAGCAACACACTTCAGCTATTGTGCCATAAGAAAAACGGAACTGTTTTTGTTATCTTTTCACACGTCATTTTTTGTCATTCTCGAAGTCAAACAGTAGACATCTGAATCTAAACAAGTATGCAAACAAGCCTTCCACTGGTTTCGAATACGCGCTGTATCTTACAGTGTTTCTAGCAATCGGCACTTCTTGTCCTCTGCTCCCCAACCAGGAAGGCGTGTGGATCCAACGGTAGCAAGACGTGAAGTAACGATATCATATGCTGACGCTAAGTGGACGGCTGACCACCACGAGGTCCCTTCCAGTTAAGTCCTGCATGAGTGAAAAGTGCACAGTAAAACAAACGCTCAGCTGACATACGCCAAAGCTGATCGAGCCATTTTAGCTGACACAGTAAATCAGCTAATTGAAGGGCATAGTCGCATCCCCTAGGACACTACGTCGGACGTCACCATTGGAAATAGGTTGCTGCCACTATACAGGAGCAATCCCCCTCAAACACCGATAGTCAAAAGCCGAGAGAAGGCGCATGTCATCTACATGAACTGGCCGAGATTCACTTCCATACAGCAATATTGGCCGTACGGTGGCACTGTACACACGACCCTTTATCAATAGGGAAACATGCCGAGGATGCCACAAGTGTTTCAGGCTGACGAACCCTGACCGAACATTGGTGATGCGGAGAGAAACCTTCTTCTCAACATAGCCCCAGCAGACACGCAGCTGCCAAGATGTGTGCCATCAAGTGTGAGCCCGGAAACGGGCGAGAGCTAATCCTGGAGCAGAACTTTACACTTCGATGGGGCGAAGCACAGACCGAACGTAGATGCCTCAATCGCCAAACGGTTTAGAACGGAATGGAAGTATTTCGGTGTTGCTCCTCCCAACGCAGACACATCAGAACCGCGGTTTCGTCCTGGTTTGCACTCGTCAGTAGGAGATAGCCTGAGCTGGGCTGGTTCACGGCTGATGTCCTGATCACTATACAACTGAGATCCGCGAGCGATCTACATGCTCTGCGAGTCGTCATCAAGTAAGGCGATATCATCGGCATAATCTAAGTCAGTCGCACGCTTGCCCGGCAGTAACTGTAATCCAAAATTTTGAAAACCTTCAAAAGCTCTCGACAGGATGTCTTCAATAGCAAAATTGAAGAGAAAAGGGGACAAAGTGCAGTCCTGTCGTAAACCGATATTGACAGTAAATGATGAAGAAAGCGTGCCATAAATCCTCAGACTGCCAGAGATGCAGAAATACAGTGCGTGTAGTACAGTTGTGCATATTGCTGGGACCCCGTTCTCAAGCAAGCAACGTCACAGCGTAGGTCGATCAACTGAATCAAGTACAGCACGGGTGTCTAAGAATGCTAAAATGGTAGGCTTTTGATAGAGGCGGCGCTGTTCGAGGATTTGGCGTAGCGCAAATTTTCGAACCACGCACCTACGGCCAGGAAGGAAGCCAGCTTGTCTTTCCCGGTACTGGGATTCACGAATCGGGTAAAGTCAACGGAGTAGAATGGATGCGAAAAGTTTGGAAGCAACCGAAATGAGACTAATCCCCCGGTGATTGGTGCATGAATTGCGAGCACCCTTCTTAATAGATCGGTACAATAACCGACTCGTCCCCGGAAGAAAGAAGCTTTCCTTCATGCCAAATTTTGGAGAACAAGGAGGTAAACTGGCTGATGATAACTGTGCCTCCATATTTGAACAGCTCCGGAGGAGGTCCGTCTGAGTCAGCAGCGTTAAATCGACACAGATGTCGAATCACAATACAAACTTCCGCTTCGCTGGGCGGATCAAGTGTAATGACCCAGGGCGAGCGGCTTGGTTTGCAGAGCATACAAATGGACGGTGAGGACCAATTGAACTGGGAATGAAAATGTTCAGCCAATCGATCCAACCGTTTCTGTGGGTTGACAATTGGCGAACCATCCGCTTCTCAAATAGTTTCACTGACACCAGGCTTTTTTGATCAAGGGATCGAACGAGCTGAAAGAGCTTGCAAGCATTGCCAGAAAGCGCAACGGCCTCTATTTCTGAGGCGCGGTGAGACCACCAGGCTTCACGATCATTACGTAGGCTTCGTTTGAGCTGCTGACTGACAGAGCAGCACACTTCATTATGGTTGGACTCCACACTAGTGATCAAAATCGACTAACTTATTAATGCCTCTAACACGAGGCGACCTTGTTTCTGATGCATCCTGATCTGGGTTAGGCGACAGAAGAGTAACTGAAGTACAAGATTGGAATAAACTTGTTTAACAAGGTATTGTATAGAAAAACAGCGCTCACCGAATCCGATTACTAATAAGGCCCGTCTACTGGGTCAAATCGCAATGACTAGCATGTGGGATGAATAAAACGATTAACCTATTTCTGCCGAGGTTGGAAATCGTGAATTTTGGCATAAAATTCATATATGTTAGGTATAATAATGTAAAAAGAAATTGAAGAAACTTTTTTATGTTGTCCAGTTTTGAGTTATGAGGCATTCCAAAAATGGACCATTAGGTAAAACAATTATCTTGTTGTACCGAAGTACATAAAAGGCTGTTTTTTGTCTGGACATGCTTGTAACTACTACTGTGTATGATATTCAATTGAACACTTCACATGCAAGGCAACATTACATTTTGCACATCGAAACGTGGTGTTCTTATAACATTGATCGCAGCGTGTTTGTTTTCCTTGCTTGATAATAGCACTTGACAATACACTAAAGTTATAGTTACCTGTGTGTGGGAATGATTTTGCGAAAAACGTCGCTAACACACAGGTGAATGTTTCGCAATATCGCTGCAGGTCTAAGTAACCATGTGCACGTGGCGATAGGATAGAGATCCACAAGTCAGGCGGAAGTGATAAAGCGGACTGCATTGTCGACCTTGATGAGTAAACTAATAAGAAGCGACACGTGGCCGCTATTCCGATAACGGAACACTAGGCATAAATGGGTTCCCAGAAGAATTATTGTCTTGGGACAGTTGAACGCGAATGGAGCTGGACCCGACAATGTCTGACGTGCGAGCCGTGACTGAGTGTCAGCAGGTATCGCACTAACTGTGGAGGCTGCGAACAAGGGCGCGTTAAAATGAACATGCAAAGGTAGAATAATGTCCGATTTCGAAGTCCGAAAATAGGCATGACTTAATGCGTGAGAAGAAAGCTGTGATGCGGAGGGTACTGACTAATGCCATAGAATGTTGATCATCACGAGATTGGACTAATGCTCGAGTGACTTCCAGAGAAAATTCGAGGGAGAATCAACGTGAAGGCTGAGTATTGATGATGCGGTTGCAACTGTCTAAGAAAACGTAGCGGTCATGGCCGTGAGTCGATACGTGAGAAAAACGCGAGGATGAAGTGTAAACAGATTGTGCATCCGATGCGCATCACAATTTGCATGTGGTGAACGAAGAAGCGCAGACATAAATATATCAACAGAAGCTTGGACAGAGTGGAAGTTTGAATCCCATGGAAAATTGAGCTAGCAAGTCTGGGGTGCAAATTTTCTCAGCGAAATTCTTTAATAAATAAGGCAATCACATATCCGAACTTCGGTGCATGTACTATTCGGGTTACAGAAATAACAGCTTCTGACACTAGTTAGTATGGAAATGCACTGGAGGAAACAGAGGCTAATAAAGTATTCCAACTCACTTGTTTCGGATGCAAAATCGTTAAAATCAACCATGCAAGAAGAGCATTTGGATTTCGAACCGCAGTAACTGATCACAGTGGAACAGGCAGTTCCAACAGACCCGGAGGGTGTACGGTCTAGCAGGGCACGCTCGTCATCTTCCCCATCGTAATGCTCCAAGTAGGGGCCATCAGTAGAGACAAAGTCAATGCTGGAGCAGGAGTACTCATCTTCAGATCCCTGTGTGATTCGACGGTCGATCGAGCTGCGAATAGAGGAGTCCCGCAACGGGCACCAGGTCCCGTCCAATCCGACCTGTTCCTTGCACGCGTAATTATTGGTCTCCTCTGCGGAGCCCGATGCAGCTTCGCGACTGTAGCTGGATAATGACCACTTGCGTTGATGGTGGGCGTTTGTGGTGCTGGTACTGGAGTCTCCGAAGCGGGAATAGGAGCTGCAGAATTTTGAAAAAATAATGAACCGACTAGCTTTACGCACATACTTTTCGACAGACACTACGAGGCAACCACTAGGGGACCGATGCTACCTCAAAGGATAGCAGAAGCTCAAAACTCACAATACAGTAAGGGTTTTATGCACTAAGAATTTCAAATGATCAACCAAAGGTGTTAGCGAGTCGTTGATGAAATGAGTTTCTTTTTAAAAACAGATGCTTAATAGTAGTTGTCCAGGAATAAGAACTATAGAAACCATTGATTGGAGAATGGTGGCCGAAAAGATTTTAATAGCTTGTGTGAGACTAAGGAACAGACAAAATTACAAGACATACGGTGAATATCGGTTCATAGGGGATTTGCTCGCAACAGACATCCCGGGGGGCAGTAGTGAGGGCTTCTGTTTGGAATCTGTAAGACAAAACAATCATTACCATGATTATACACGTTAGCTAGAGGTGTAAAACACCTCAGCTACTGTGCCGCAATACATAAAAGAAAAAAATGCAACAGTTACATGCCAGCTGAGCTAGTAGAAACGGATGGGCATCGTTCTGGAAAGCTGCTAGCCGGCCACTAGGCAACAGAAAATATTATTATGTAAAATTATGGTATGTTACGTACTGAGATCGTGGTTGGAGGGGAGACAAAAAGGGATGGGGATGGACAAAGAAACTCACAGCAGAAACACCACTGAGGTCCTAGCCATGTCAGTAAGTGTATCTAGCCAAACGTGTTCATCGTCTTTTGGACCCAAACCAGGGAGCTGTGACGCTCCAAACGCCGGAGGGATTCATAAAAGGGCAGTCTAGCTCAGTTTGGCAGACAATAAACATACGAAGCGCTAACGCTGAAACCCAGTTTGCTGATGCAGTATACAGTGGCATGATAGCACAAGCACAGGAAGGTGGGGATGAAAGTGGACATTATAAGTCATCACAAATAGTGGAGGAGCGATGCAGGACGGGTCCGGAAACGCGCCCAAAGGAGAAACGGAGAAATGAGAATAAAAAAGAAGTGTGCAAGGGTGGGAAGTGATCCTGTTGGGATTAAGTGTGAACGCTCGCGGCATGCGGTATCATGCCAATAGGATAAACACGCCTGAAAAGTCTTGGTTCGATTGGTGATGAGCATAGCGGAAAACAAATATCCAAGTAACATTCGACAGATTATCGAGTGAAAGAAGTGTTTCGCTATTCTGGTTGGGTAGGCCAGAGCAATAGAGAGTGGCAAATGTTGGAGTAAATCGCGGTAAAATAGAGAAGCATGTTGCGAAGGAGCCACCCCACAGGGGATCGGAATGGAACAAGGAACACAACGCTGCATATACGTCTGAAACGAGGGAAGTCGCAAACCGACTTTGAGTGTGTAGTTTGTTAGTTGTCAGATGACACAGAGCAACTCGACGGTTTTGAGGAATCACTACGGTAACAAATTTCGTTATGCAAATTTCCTCATTGGAATAGATCACGTGTCGCACACGTTCCTTCGCGTCACCAAAGCTAAGCAGCACTTCAGAGCACCATGAGACATGGACAAAATAAAATGAGACTAATTGCCCTGTACTACGGATGCACGAGCAATCAAGATGAAAAGGAGAGATGGAGAGCGTCTGTGAAGACGTAGACCACAGTGGAGATATGTACCAGATTAAAGGATATTTCCCACGGTAAATAAAAGAAGCAAAAGGAGTGGGATTTTTGAGTCCAGTGCGCAGGCAGCCAATGAGGGCAATAGACTCAGTGAATCGACCGGAAAATGTAAATGATGAGTAGAAATGAACAGACATCCGTTGAGTGTGCGAGCAATGATGGAGAAAAAGTACCCAATCGACTACCAGCTGCTCACACCATGGAATAGAGGTGGGTTATCGTCGGTGCACTCTATTTGAAGCAATCAAACACACGGAACTATTTGAATAAGCGGCGTCAAACGTGGGACTGTAAAACGAAGAGACTAATCAGTGAGAGGTGCACACACATCAGGTGTTAACTAGTGTATTCAACTGTGTCGCTGAAATAATAGTCATTGCATGCGTACCTCATTTTACGAACAGGAAGTATACCGGAATTAAGTCACTTCACAACCTGAACCAGTATCACCTGAAAAATGGAAGCGCATTTATACGGTTGCCTAGGGAGACAGCTTTGCCTGGAAGTTGCGCGAGAACCAGACAGTGTCATTTATCCGTAGGTCCATCATACGTAGTGTACAAGAAAGTGAGTGGAAATACACAGAATTCCAGTGACCATACGTTAATAGGGGATAGGGAATTTAAAGGCATTTTAGAGAGTTCGGAAAGCAAGTTGTGAAGACGCAAATGTGAGTAGTATACTAATCGGTACTGATACGCCTCCTGAGCATTTACAACGTTGGATGAAAGGGAAGAGAGAAAGTGGAGTATATGTGAGGGGTTGGTTATGAGACGAGAAATGCGAAACACGCATCCGCCGATTCCTCTCGACATACAGGCTGGGGTAGCACGTGGTGACGAGGTTCATTATTCGTGGCTTGTGAACACAGTGCAAAGTGCAAGCGTTGTAATGACGCGATTAGATTGCTTGAAAGCGATGTGAATAATGGGACATCAAGCTATGAACGTAGACCATACGTACGGCCTGGACAGAAGACGGTTGGGTAGATTTTGTAATACGGTCTTGTAAAAGTGATTCTACAGAGTAAATAATGTACAAGGCAGAACTCCCGACTAAGTCTGCAACGTTGGTGCAGCGGTCGGAGACAGATAGTCGTAACAATAATTTTAGTTCTTTCGGAATTTAAACCCAATACCATTCGAATAACCAGCGCGGTCACTTCAGTAAGACACCACATAAATGGAAAGAGAAACACTGGTTTCCCAGCAAGTGCCATTGTAAGATTGGATATACATCGGCGAACGGATGATGGAAGCGGTGTCAGGTAGTAGACTATAGGCACGCCGAAGTGGAGGTCACTTGATTGACGTATATCTACGCGACTGCACACTAGCTGCTAAAAATATGCATAAAGATGTGCATTTTGATGAGAATGCCGATTTTCTTCTGACAGGCGGCTGCGCCAACATTGGCACATGACACTCAGAAAGTTGGGATACCATCTTGACTTGGATGTGGATTTGGACATAGACTCATGATTGGGTTGCATGACAGAGGTAGTGTGAAAATTGACAGCTATGTAAACTAAAATGCACCATAAGTAGCCTGCACACATGAGACGGCTAGAACGACGCTGGAGTGTGGGGAGCGGCGAGCCAGTGATTTAAGCGCATAGTACAACGACAAACAGAGGACAGTGGTGTAATCGACAGGCGGACGGGTCCGGAAGTAGAGGCCACACAAAAGCAACTGTGGCCGGAGGGGAAGACTACGGGGAAGTGGAGGATCTCATGAACCCAAACGACAGAGCAGAATTGGGGGGACATGCGAAACGGATGACGATCAAATAAAATGGAACCGGGCTGGCACTAGCCATCTGAGGTATTGGTGGAGCAGCATTCGTAGCGTGATTAGGAGAAAAGTAGGTTGTCAATCACCGATGGGTTCGTAAAAAAGTGATGGAAAATAAGATAAGACAATGAAAACACTGCAGTACTTGAAAACGTTCAATAAGGATAGCACACTAGGAAAACATCATAGGAAAAAAGTAGATGGGGCTACCTGTATGCTCGATAATTACATACAAATCCGGAACAATATCAAAAGATGAAATTCATTAAATCAACAGATAAAACGTATGGCCTACCTGACACCAAGTCGCGTCTTACGATGCTTTTGGGGAAGGAACCCAAGTCACCCGTACGTCTGTTTTGTCCACGCCACCAAAACTGGTCGGGCTGCGAATCCAGGACCACCACCAGGTCACCATATTCCAGACCCAAGCGATCGGCCTCATCAAACGTTTGAGTGGCAGTTACCTCGAAAGGACGAATCTATGAGAGGCGGGGAACAAAAGTCCGAACTATTTGGTGACTAGCCATTTTTGAACGCCGGTTCGGTGGTGACGAAAAGGGGTTCCGAGATGAATTGCGGATAATTCCGCATAAAAACGCCACGATGTAATGAGGAGCGGCCATGTTACTAGAGGAGGATTAGCGGCACGTCACCAGGTGAACAGTGAATAAGCCGAACAGTGTGCGGGAAGGATTCGTTGATATTCAAGACAAGACGATGGGCATGATCAAAGAATGCAATTGAGGAAAGCAGGTAGATCTCAATTTGTAAAAACTGTCTAAGAGGAATCAAGTAGAATGACTCAACTGTATATCATCAGTCGAAGCAACACAGAAGCGCTGTGATGCGTGACTAGTCTAAATGGAAGGAAATGGGGTGGACAGTGCAAAAGATGAAGATGTGGGACTTAAGTTAGTATCCGTCTCATGAAGCGGAGGGCAAAACAATTGAACTAGAAGCCTCGTAATATAGTGATAGGTTTTTTTTACAAGTACTAGTATTTCGGTTGCTGGGTTTTCCTCTGTCCCACGAAAGGAGCGAACCGGAGTGCATCGTTGCACACTAAAAGATCGTTTTATTTTTAGAGTATTCACAAAAATCGATAACAGCATGTGAACGTTATTACAAGGTTGATATGGTAGTTCACGAATAAGTGTTACGAAATGTCATAAGCACTGAGGGTGAACAAAGGAACTTTTTTGTTGAGCATATGTGGAGCAAGGCAATGTGTGTGGAAGTGGGGAAACAGTGTGATGATCGAAGTGGGAGCGATTCCAATCTGATGACCGGATGCAAAAACAATAAGGTGGTTTCCAAAATAATCAAATAGTTGTGCTATATTTTCGTCACTCGGGAGGAATCTTACCCGATCAAGCCGGTCGGCCAAATAAGCGAAGGAAGGTCTCCGATTAGGTTCCCTGCGCCAACACGCGAGCATGAGTTGATACAACCGCCGAGGACAAAGTGATCGTGGCCAAGCAAGGCGGCGCCCGGCATCGAGAGCAGCCAGTAATTGGGATGCATTCATGTTGGGCCAAGGAGCGGCGCCATTAGTCCACAATTCCCAGGCGGTAACTGCCCAACTCCAAACATCGCTGGCCTGAGAGAACATACGATTTCGAAGAGATTCTGGAGCAGACCTAAAGAAAGAGGTAAAGAAAAGTGTTCGGATAAAAAGGTGACAATGAAGTCTTGGATGAATGAACGAGGGCATAAAAATGGGAACGCGGTTAGTTGGTCAACTGCCAAAGAAAAGATGGCATATATGCGGCAGCGCCCACACTATATATATATATATATATATATATATATATATATATATATATATATATATATATATCAAATCAGCAGTCTATAAGATGGACACAGAGCCAGCGAAAACCATGGAAGTAATAGATACAGAGACCACAAAGAAAAGGATGAAAGTTACAAAAAAGTTCTTGTCTGGTTTTGAATCATGTCTATTTCGAGTTCTTTTTTCCCACCCGTTATATATATTTTGTCTGTTTAATGTTTGAGATGTAAACCAAGAAAACCAAGACGAACATTCACACACGTTTTCCATTGGGCGTGGTTCTGCGCCATCTCCGAAAGAGTTTCCAGTCAGCGATGTTCATCATCTTTGAGCCCCAGCCCGGAAGACGCACGGTACCTACAACAGTTAAACTGGAAGCAGCGCTTTAATCGTTTGTCGCCACGTTATAGGCCGACGACCGCCGATTTCTTCCAACTTGGTCCTGTGCGAGCGAAGAGAGCGCGTCGGGGAAGCCGTTCGCATGGCATGCGTAAAACGTGGCCCAACCATCTCAGTTTGCACAGCGGTACCAGTCTGTCAAGTGGAAGTCCCGTGTTACCCAAGACACGACGTCTAACATCACTGCGCAAGTGGTTCGTCCACCACGCTCGAGCTACTCTCCGCAGACATCCATTGTCAAAGGCCGAAACCCGACGTAAGTCATTCACACGAATCGGTCAGGACTCACTCCCATACAGCAGCACAGCGCGAACACAGGCATTGTAGACCCGACCCTTTACCAATAGTGAAACGTCACGGCGTCGCCACAGATGAGTCAAGTTGGCGAATGCCAAATGGGCTTTGGAAATGCGGAGGGAAATCACTTTTACAATGCTACCATCAGCAGACACAGCTTCCCAGTCAAACAATGTTGTCCACTTGTTCAAGCTGCGTACCTTGAAGTGTGAGCACTGGGGCAGGCGGATGCCAATTCAGGACCAGGACTTTGCACTTCGTAGGGTCAAAGGTCATTCCATATATTGAAGCTTCAATCGCCAAGCGCTTTAGAACGACTTGTGTGCTCTGTGCGTCATCACCAAGCAAGGCAATATCATCAGCATACTTTAAATCGGTCAGGCTGTTGCCAGGAAGAAGCTCCACACCAGAACCCCGAAAGCCCACGAGTGTTTAAAAGGATGTCCTCGATCGCAAAATTGAAGGAAAACGGGGAAATGGGGCAACCCTGTCATACACCGCTAGTGAGGGCAAAAGGTGAAGAGAGCTTACCATAAGCCCTCACTTTACCTGAGACATTGCAATATAATGCTCGAAGGATGGCGATATACCTTTCGGGCACCCCATTCCTTTGTAAGTAACGCCATAAAGCTGACCGATCGACGGAGTCGAAAGCCGCTCGGATGTCCAGAAAAATAACGGTAGTGGGTTGGCGATAAAGATGACGCATTTCAAGGAGTTGGTGGAGCATAAACAAATGGTCTAAACACCCTCGACCGGGGCGGAAACCAGCCTGTTCTTCACGGGAGCGCAATTCTCGAATCGGGGTTAGTCTGCGGAGTAGAATGGATGTTAACAGATTGGAGGCAACGGACATTAGACTGATTCCTCGGTGGTTAGCGCATAGGGTACGGGCACTTTTCTTGAAGATCGGGACGATAATTGACTCGCTCCAAACGGATGGAACTGTTTCTTCACACCAGATCCTCGAGAACAGAGCTGTTAGCTGGTTGACGATTACTTCGCCGCCGAAATTGAACAGCTCTGGAGGAAGTCTGTCTGGGCCAGCAGACTTGAATCGCTTCAAGTGTCGGAGTCCAGGGCAGACCTCAGCATCAGTGGGTGGTTCCAATGAGACGTTCCAAGGCGCGCAAATAGGTGTACTCAATAGGGTCGCCAGCGGAGGCCAGTTGGATTAAGTGCGGAACTGTTCAGCCCAGCGATCCATAGGCCTATGTAAGTTGTTCCGTCAACTTCGCAAATGACCTCACTGACACCAGGTCTTTTGTGACCAGTAGCTCGAATGAGCTGGAAGAGCTTGCGAAAGTTTCCAGGGAGGGCTGGCGTTTCCATCTCTAAGGCGCACTGGGACCATCAAGTTTCGCGATCAGCACGCAGGCTTTGCTTTAATTGTTGGCTGAGAATGCGACACAATGCAGTACCATTTGAATCGGCCGGGATAGTTCTACGACGATCAAACAATTTCAGTGAGTGTGCGGAAATTCAGCCCCTCAGAGGGCGCCTTGTGATTCCGCAAATTGAATGACTGGAAGTTAGCATCGCTTAACGCACGAAACTACAATAATTTTCGATGTCTCGAGGTGGAGCACTAATGAGTGCATGCGATAAGGAAGCTTGATAAGTTGATGGAATAGAGGTCAGCTAACTTGTTGGTATCGAGTGTATTAAGCTTTCGTTTTGAGGTGCCGCCGAAGCGCATGCAGATGTCCGCGCAGACCAAAGCATGATCTGAATCGAGATAGTAGATCAAATCCATCTACAACCTCAGACGCTACCTCGCCATCTAAAGCTAATTGCGATGTGATCTATTTGTGATCAGAATTGCGTTGGTGAAGGAGGACGCCGGGTGGATGCACGTCTTCTGGTATGCCTAAAGTTCGTACTTACGTGAAACAGACGGTGGTCTTCGCATAACGTAAGAAGTCTATCACTGTCGTCAGAACGGCTCTCATCAACCGCGTGACTGCCACCAAAATGACGTTCGCACGGAAGCAGGTGACCTACTCGTGCATTGAGATCTCCGGCAAGGACGATGACATCTGACTTTTCGGCCTTGTTTAAAAGGTTGTGGAATGTACGATAAAAGTCGTCCTTAACCGATGCGCAGCTGCAGTCGGTTGAAGCGTAGGCAGAATCGAAAAACAAATTGCGCCTCCCTTCACGATATCTATTGATTCTAAATAAGGCTTGAAGCCGAACCGCACACATCTGGTTGTCGATTGAAAACCTGTTGAGTAATGCAGCCTCTGCTTTGTCACTCAATGTGACGCCAGCTAAGCCGCCCGCTGCTGCCTACATGTCAATATACAGACGTGGGTAATATGTGGTCCCAAGAGCAACTAGGGACGACAACTTAACCAAGGTGCTGGGCTCCTGTAATCGAGTCGCTGAAAGGTAAAAAAATCGATGGCGAGGGACTCTAGAGTGCGCATCAGGTCAGCCTGTTGTCCAATCTGTAGGAGAGTACGAACATTGAACGCTGCCAGACGGAATGAAGTACGGGGTCGAAGAATAGCTGATGGCCGGATGATTTGGATATCAGCGAGACGGGCATTGGAAGTAGACTCAAAAGGTTGTGGATTATCAACAAAATTTGGCGTGTGATGGAGAAGCACGAGTAGCAAGGAAAGTGGTAGCCGAAGTAAACGACGTAGTAGTAATTGCGAAATCCGTGGTTTTCACAGAGGGTACGATACTACCCGGTTGGCCAAGCCGAAGCATGGAGTTATCTTAGAGGACTCCACCCCGAGCCTTTGGCTCAATAGCCTACTCGCGAGTCAGCGGAGCGAAGTCAGGAGTTCGCACCCATTGGGAGTCGATGACAGATTGCTTAGTTCATATGTTTTTCGTTTGGTGAGTAGCCCAACAGGGGCACAATCTTCCCCACGATTTCAGCAGTAAGGTGTTGGGATACAATGCTTCACCAAAGTGAAACAAGGGGCAGTGACTTTATTTAGCGGTGAATCACATCCGTCACGTCGCAGTGTTGTTAAACAGACACATGTGACTTTTTATAGGATGAACGCCTGCCAGGCGAAAACCCACCACGTCTTGGAACACTGCCGCCGAAGCATTTACTGGAACGGGAAATTCCCGGACCACCAAGCTGTCAGCACGAGGGGGTTGTTCGGCAGGCCAATACAAGTTCATAAGCGAACCCGTTTATGGGGGAAAATGAAACAGTGAGCAAATCATTTCACTAATTACTCATAGTAGGTGGTAGCCGAAATGACACGAGTAGGAAGTGCCCCACTCTGCAGAGGAAAGCCTGAGTACCGCATGAAAAATGAGCTAAATGAAAATGTCCGGTCGATGTAGTTGCAAACCACTCCAACTTTACTACCATAATTCCGACTGACACGACAGACCGGATTATAGCCATTAAGGAAGAAGTAGCCACGCTGAAATGCAAGCTTCATGAATTCAGCACATGCTATGAACAAGTCCTATCATTCTGTGAACTGCTTAGAGGCTCAGAAACTGTTACACTGGACCGTTTGAGCACAGCTGCTTCCTTACTAGACTCAGTTACATCCAAAACGCAAGAACGCCTCCGTAGATCGCATAACGTTATCATTTTTAACGTGCCTGATAAACCGAACATCAACAGGGTAACAAATGCCCTCTTAAAAGCATGCAATATGGATGGAGTTTCCTGTCAGTGCCTCAGACTGAGGAAAAAGGAAAACATGACCACATGTCCGATACTCTTACAGTTTCCAGACGATAAAAGCGCATCTAAATTTGTACGCAGTAAAAGACTAGTTGCTGCACAAACTACTTTTAAAAATATTATTGTCAAACACGATCAAACGCCTCTTCAAAGACGATTAACAATGAAACAAAATCCCTCCACCCATCATATGCCCCATGTTCCTACTAATGAAGCCAGTACTGACGCTATCATCAGCAATGTCGACCTTGACAAGTCACCCGCGTCGTCTAATATAGGCGATGATGGACATCTCAGTCTTCAGCGGCCTCATGAAAGAGTCTCAAATAGCAGTAGTGATGTGTCCAAAACTAAAACTACCAACCAAGCTGAAAATACAACGACGCAGACATCTGCTGACCACACACTCAACTCCCCTATCCCTTCTCCAAACTGCGAGCCTTTACAAAAGTTTACAGTAACTGTACCTGAGACCT